GCCAAGCTTTCCACACTTCTTCCAACCTGAGAAGAACAAAGTAAAAAATCTATGCTGTTCAAAGCCTGCAAGTTCTTGTAATTTGTTACACAGCAGTAGGTAACTACAGCAAGCCATAGTGACTCAGACTGTAGTCCCAGATACATGGGAGGCTGAGGAGGACTGCTTTAGCCTAGTTCAGGGCCAGCCTGGACAACAGTAAGTCCCCATCCTTACCCCCCCAAAAAGAGAGCAATAATAGTAGGAAAACTGAAGATGCATCACCCTACAGCCTAGAAGGTAGACCTCTGACTACACACTCTGGGAAACACTTGCCTGTAGTATACCAGAATGTTCTGAGTGTTCACATCACCACAGCTAGTGATAGAAAAAAAAAAAAAAGACACCTTCATAATCAGAGGACAAAGGACAATTGCAGACATAATATTCACAAAACGTAATACAGTATGTACAGTAATGAAACACCAACAAATGACAGCTGGTCCCCAGAACAGGGCTGAGGCACATCAAGTCCTCAGGGTCCTGTGTGGCTGCTGCCTGTGGTCCCAGGCCATGCAAATACTGCACACATTCAACCCTGCAGCAAGTTACATGAGCAGCACTTACATAAAGAATCTACGCGTGCAAAGGCAAAGTTTTATCAGCACCAGGGCTCTTGGAAAAATAGATATGATATTAACAAAAAACACATGAGTAAAAAGGTGAGAGAAGGAAAGGGAGAAGGCATGCTCAGCACCCCAAACATGTGGCTATACAGGGCACCAAAGTTCAGGTTAGGGTGATTTTTGTAAACACTATAATGTCTACTCAAAATCTAAAAGTCAAAAACATCTGGAAAACCAAACTGCTAACTAATCAGGGGGGAAAAAAAACGCAACATACTGTAATAACCTTTGGGGGGGGGGGGGCACCAGGGATCAAACTCAGCACCTTGTGCTTGTGAGGCAGGTGGCGGAACCACTGAGCTAAATCCCCGGCCCTGTAATAACTTTTTTTCTTCTGCCAAGATCTGTTCATTGATAAAAGTAATTCAAATAATTTAACAGTACAATACTTTTTTTAATCGCACATAGTGTGGCCTTTTCTGCCCACCTTTTATCACTGAGCAGAACATTTTTCAAGTTCATCTGTAATGCATCAGGCAGTACTCCTCTCTTTTCATGCCTAAATAGTGTTCCACTGTACAGATGGCCCACATCTTAGTCAACCTCTCATCAGCTGACACCCGTGAGTTCAGTGATTTTGAACACTGCTCTCTGAACTCTTATGTATTTTGGTGTGCACATGGTTTGCTTTCCTTGGGCACACACCCAGGAGTGGCACTGCTCTGTCGTGTGGCATCCTCAGCATGGCTACTTGAGAAACTGCCAAGCTGTTACTCAAAGCAGCTGCACCACTGTGCAACCCTCAAACCGTGGAGGAAGATTCCAGTTTCCCACAAGCTCACCAGCACTTGTTATTACTTTCCAGTTGCAGCCATCCTAGTGGGTGTGATAAGGTTTTTCATTCTAATTTTGACTTGCATTTCCCAGGTGACTAAGCATGTAGAGTATCTTTTTGTGTGTTTTTTGGTCATTTACAAATCTTGTCTGAAGAAATCCAGGTTCAAAACCTTTATTCACTTTAATTTTCAGTTATTGCTTCATACTGTTGAAGTGTAAGAGTTCTTCATTCTCTGGATACCATACTTTATTAGACACATGATTCTCTCCAACATAGGGAAGGATATACACAGAGTAGCAAGAGCAACTCTCTTACTCTGCTGGTAGGAGGGCAAAACAGTACAACAAACATGAGAAAGCAACTCAGTAATACTCAGCAAAATTACCAATATGTACACTCTACAAGCACCAGCTGCATTTCTAGATGTATACCCCAGGGAAATTCTTATATTTTGGGGAAAAAAACATGGATGAAACTTAGGAACCTAACTGAAAATGAAAAGAATCACAGTAAAATCCCACATAGCACAAAGCCAATGTCATCTATAAAATATTCAATAATATGCAAAAACAGGGGTTAAGGGCAATGCTCAGAGGTGAATGCTCAGCCTGAGAAAGGCCCTGGGTTCAACTCCTAGCTCCAAAACATAAAGAAAAAAAGGGAATATATGCAAAAGCAATCAATGTTTTGGAAGGCAATACTTACAGAAATATTATCAAGAAAAGCAGAGAAATGACAGGCATAAAAGACAGTGCTCTGGCCACCTTCAACAGAAAGGGGCACGGGAGGTAAGGCGATACTCTGATTTCTGAATGCGTATTTTGTGTGTGTGACAAATTCCATAAATATTTTCTGAGTCTCACAGACAAATGAAGGACTTGCAGATACAGAAAGACACAAAAGCAGTTTGATCTCAATATAGAAAAGGCAGTTTTGGGCACCACAGTGAACCACACACAAAAAAACAGTATCACCAGTGATTCTTAGCCCAACAAAGCAGAAGCTTTGTGGAACTCAGAAGACAAGGTTTCCTGCTCTCACCTGCTTCTTTCCTCCCATCTGGTTGGCTGACTGTCTGCCTCCCTGGTCCCCCTTCCCTCCATCACCCCCTCCAAGGAGCTTCGACATTCAACTAACAACCTGAGGGCCACTCACCTCCCTCCAGTTCCACATCATCAATGCCACTGCAAGGCTCTCCTCACAATGACTCTCCTCAGATCACACCTGATCTACTCCTCTATCAGAGACATACTCTGGGAGAGCCAGGACACTGCTCACATCTGCCTGGCTCACTACAGGTACCCAGTTTACTGCTGACTACTGAAAGAATAAATGAATTAGAAAATTCAGACATTTGAAATATACGAAAGTAAATCTGGGCTATTTTTTAAAATAAAAACCAAAACAAAAAACCTTGCCAGCTGGGCATGGTGCTGCATGCCTATAATCTCAGCACTTGGAAGGCTGAGGATGGCTTCAGTCCAGAAGCTTAAGGCCAGCCTGGGCAACATGGCAATACCATGTCTCAGAAACAAAACAAAAAACTAAAAAACACAAGGAATTAAAAATCATAGTCCTTGAAAAAGAATTTCCATGTCGAAACTCTCACTACAGTAAAATCAAGTCAGGCTACCAAAAGCTAGGTAAAATATAAAATGTTTCTAATGCCCATCCTGATCATCTTCCATATTTACAGAGGGGAGAATCAGAAGAGTAAGAACTTTCTCAAAGATTGTTTATCATCCAAACAGCACACCGCTTTAGAGAATGTCTTTAAATCAGTCACATAACTGAAGACCAGGTAAGGTTAGAAAGAATATTTTACAAGAAAAAATAGTAATATGCCATTTTAAGACTACACTTTATTTCCTTTCAAATCTTTTAAACTATTTTCCATCAAGAGTATAAACCCAAACATTATGTAGTTATGGAAAAATGGAACACCTACTGCAGTGGCAAAGTGTCCCTCAAGAACTAGACATTACCATACTCTGGTTTCTCTTCAAATCACATAAATTTTTCACCTTTTACTAAAGAACTAGACATTACTACTGATAATAAATAGGGCTTCTTCGCTCTTTGAGTTTTTGATGCTAGACATTGAACACAGAGCCTCATAAATGCTAAGTATACTCTGAGCAAAATCCCCAGCCCCAAATAGGGGTTCTCGACAGTTGAATCAATCCATTCCTGTCTATGCTTTGAGTTAATTTCTTCCTGATGCTAGTAAAACAAAAATGTTGGCGCTAAGGATGCCAGACATAACAAAAAAAATTTTTATAAGAGACAAACCCAATTAAATTTTGTTTTCAGATAAATGACAAATAATTTTTAATGTTTATTTTAAAAACATACTCGTTGGTTATCTAAAATTCACATTCAACTGAGCATCCTCTATTTTATCTGGCAACCCTATTCACAGCCAAAATATGGAGCACTCAATCCAGGTTCCACACTTTATATCAGAAACTGAGAACCAAGGAAAGGAAGTGGCTTGCCTAAGGTTAAATCAAAGAGCAAGGAAAAGAGAACACATATGGCACTAGGTCATCAACTGAGGTTCCATTCAGGTTAAACCACCATATCCTGCTCAGCTCACAGAAGCACTTAACAGACACACTGTAAAACGGGTTTCTGCCTTTTAACACAGAACTTCAACTTCCAGTAAATCTCTTATCAACTCTAGCATCTGAAGACAACAAATTAGGAAACGATGTGTTGGATGCATTGCTCTTAATTTTTAAAAAAGCCTGGCAATTGCTTCTCCCTGCACACCACCACCTCATACTGTTTGTATGTTCACTCACTATACGAAAGGCAGAATTTCTCCGAAACCTGTTTCTCTCAAAAGTCCAAATTTCTCTTCCTCCAAGGTTTCACAATTTAGTAAAAGAGCATGTTCACATTTGTCCATGAATCTAACGATTTTACTCATATCCTCTTTCAGTTTTTATATTTTTTTCACAGGATCTATCCTAAGCCATTTATCTAGCCTCAAAATAAGGCTGCTGCTCCCAGTCTGTGCCTGAGCAGCGAAGGTAGCAATGGCCTGAAGTCTTGCTGTATAAACACACTCACTTCCTCTGGGATTGCAACACAAGGATGGGAAGAGAAAGGTCTTTATGGGAAATGATGGGGCTTTTTCCAGTATATACTAATTGCCTAACTGCATGGCGTACAATCAAACAAAACGTGAAGAAAAATAGAAAACTGCAAAGCGATTCATCTTAACATCGCATACAACTAATTAATACACATGAAAGTCAACTCCATAAAGCAGTCTCTGAACCTGTGGTCAAGGAAAGCGGGTGGGGAGCAGAACAAGGTTTTGTTTTCATCTTTTCTGCAAACTGGGCTTTTCCAATATAGGTCTGTAATGGGGGGTGGGGGTGGGGGCTCGCTGCATTAAGCAAACATAAAAACAAAAAGGTAAGGTACTATTCGTCTTCCTAGTAAGTTTCCTTTTAACAACTTCACCCAAGTGAAGGAGAACCTAAACCGTTTCAGGTAGATTTAAACACAAACCCAAATGAGCCACTGAGACGCAATATGCCCACCTCCGCTTCTCTCCGCAGCGCCGGCGTCCGCAGCTCACTGGAGACCTCCAGTCGGGACAGCAAGAGACGAGCCAGGGTTGGCAGGGGACAGCCCGGGGCCACCAGGGGTCAGGCCGGGCCGCACCCCTGCCTGGTCGCGCTCGCGCCCGGAACCCAGCCGGCCTGGGCCCACGCGGGTGGCCAGCTTCTGCCCCACCGGCCACCTGTCGCAGGCCGCAATTCGAGCCACACCCCCTGAGAGGCGGCGCGGGGCGGGCGGGCCTGGGGACGCGGTCCGGCGGGCGCCCAGATAGCAGCCTGCGGCGCCTGCGGCCCAGAGCGGTAGCCACCAGCCAACTCCGCTGGGCCGAGGCCCAGCCCGCTGACCCGTCACGTGATGCACGCATCACGTGTCCACGCGGGGCGGGGCCGATGAGGCGTTGCCACAGCGACGGCGGCTGGGGCAGGTGGAGAACCTGCGGAGAGCGCATCCGCAGCTCCAGATGCTGGAGACAGAACTGTGCAAGGAGCCGTGCGGTCGCACTGCTGCCCACCCCTGCCAGCTGAAAAGGGTATTTTGAAGGCATATCGGGCTTACAATGTTTATTTTAATTTATGTTTACTTTTCACGAAGAGTAATCTTCCTATGTATAAATACAGATATGTCCAGATCCGCACTAGATTCAGCTTCTGTACATGTGAGGTTTTCTGGATTATACCTCTCATTTGTTTTAATGACTTTTTCTATCAACTCCAGTACGTCTAGATCAAACTTTGTACGAATGTTAACCAAGGCCGTTTTTATTTCTCCCATCACAGCCTTGTGAATTGCATAAAAGACGACAAAATATCTGTATCACCTCAGCAAGTTGATGAGTGAAAGTAAAGCAAATCCCCGCAAATATTCCAGAACTATTTCGTGGTCTGTAAGTGATCTGTTGTGTGGCTTATGAGGTTCCTCCAGACAGTTCTGATTACTCGGAGTACTTGGCTGAGTAAAGAACAAATTGTCAGGGTCAAAGCAGTGAACTCAAAATATCCTCCAAATCAAAACAGCAAGGTCAAGATATCATCTTCATTCCTGTGACACACTCAGAAAGTGTGATGATGAATTTCCACCAGTAATTACAAGGCCACTTGCCACCACCTGGCCAACCTTTCCTACTGCTCTTGCAGCAGGTGTCTCTCATAGGTATACTGTACACTATGCCATAGCTGATGGTCACTGGCTGGTTGGCCAGTGCATGGGTGTGGAGTCCTGCTGTCCTTCCTCAGGAAGTGGCAGTGCTTTTCTCCTTTTAGAAGTATGTCAGTCTTGCAGAAGATCTCAGGAGCATTGCTCCAGCAGGCAAAGCTACAGCAAGTCCTAGCTTTGCCATTACTATCTAGGCAATTCCCTAACCTTTCTGAGCCTCTCTTCATCTATCTAAAAGAAAAGTGCTGTCTACTGGACAGAGTGGTTATCTTAGTCACTTTCCTGGTTGCTGAGACACAATACCCAACACCCATAATTTAAAAGAGGAAAGGTTTATTTTGGCTCACCGTTTGTAGATTTTTCAGTCCATAGTCCCTGTCTCCAAGGCAGGGACGAATGGCAGAGGGGCCTGGGAAAGGAGTAGCTGCACATGGCATGGAATTGATGAAGCAGAAAGAAGAGGAAAGGAGATAAACTCTTCCAACCCATGCCCCCTGTGACCTGCCTCTTCCCAGCAAACCCAACCTAATAACACTAAGTCAATTGTAAACCTGAGACAGAAAACCACCCCTCCATATGGAATTGGTCAACTGTGTTGTTGGAAAACTATGGGTTAACTGGGCAACTATGCTGTTTATGAATGCACCTGAGTAATCGTGACAACTTCTGTAATCTGTCACCAAAGGAGCATAACAGACTCAAAAAGTCCTGCCAGAATTCTTTGCTCCCCCTCCCCTGCTCTGCTTTGTGTAAATCCGGCTCACTATAGTCCCAGAGAAACTCCAATGAAATTAAGCCTCAAATGTAAAAAGAAGTATATAAAGAAGAGCAAACTTCTATTTGGGGCTCTTGAGATTGATGAGTCACTTGCTGAGCGATTGGCCTTAAAGCCAATTTGCTCCCATTTTGTGTGTCAGGGTGTTCTGTCGGGTATCCCAGCTTTTCTCCTGCTGCAAACCAGCATAATCTATTCACCTTCCACAAGCCCTGCCCATACACACCTGAGGCTTGGGGGAGATCTAATTGTAGATCAGAACAGTGGTGAGATAAAAGAGATGTGCCTGCACAATACTTTAAAGGGCCCAGCATATACAGTGCTCAGTAAATGTTCACTTTTCAGCCTCTGGCAAGAGGTTATTGGTGTAGAAGCTGAGTCCAGAGGAAAGGGGACTGACAATTGAGTGTGTCAAGTCCTGGGTTCAGATGTGTGGCATCTGCCCCACAGTTGAGGAAGTGATTGTTAGCAAGGGCACAAAGTGAATGGGAAGAAGGCTTTGTACTTTGAAAGCAAGGCTGATGGGAAGGGGATTGCTCATAAGTGACCAGGTGCACATCCAGGAGGAGTGCTGTTGGGAGCCATTCTGCATAATTTGGGGAAAAATCATTTCATAATTAAAGTAAAATGTAGCTGTCTAAGGCCCAAGACTTGTCCAAGGGCATGCTATGGCATGTGGAAACCTAACTCCGCTTTGCCTCCATCACAAGTGGAGTCCTCAGTGGTCCCATGATACTGTGACACTCATGGGCAAGAATACATCAGCTGAAGACATCCTGGTTCTTTAAGAGAGTAGTAATAAAAAAAGAAAAAGAAAGGTTTCACCTGGGGAAGGACAAATTCTTTACTAGCCTTCTCTCTTGTCCCACATACTATTGTAAGAATGCTCTCACCAACATAAGATCCTCAGCAATCTAAGATCTTCATCAACATAGGATTACTGCTGCCCTCTAAGTCATCTGATACTCCCTCTGAGTATTGTGTGCACCCAGTAAATAGTGGCTAGCTCGGAGAGTCTTTTTCTTTGCCCATTCTGAGGCACTGACCTCCCAGCCCACCCTGTACTATGAAATTACGTCAGAGTCTATTGTTCTTTCTTTAGCCCTTGGGGTCCCCCTTTCTAGGCAGTCAGAGGCTCCATCGCCCTCCGATAGAGTGCTGGCCTTGGGGCAACAGAGTAATTCCACACCTTTTCTACTTGCACTATTGAAGACTCTAATATGCTGTCTTTCCACAGCCTTTGCCACACAAAGAAATTGCTCACCCTTTCCTAAGGTGTCTGGGACATGAGATGTTACTCAAGAAAGAAGTCAAGCTTTAAACCAGCAGCCAGTGCTACCTAAGAATCATCACATCCAAATCTGCACCAATAGTGTATAAAGCATGTTCTACTTTTTTAATTAGGGTTTCATTGCAAGCAAAATGTGTTGCTGTGTATGACAAATGTATGTCTGTAATAGCACCTCATCTAACACAATGAGCAGTATTCCCACTAAGCTGATGCATGTAATGATGGAGAACTTGCAAAGAAAGAGATGATTAATAACCTACTAAGGTGTTTCACAGCTATGATGTGGTAAAGCCAGGCCTGAATTCAAGTTTCCTGATTCCAAGTTTGCATTAGTCAGCTTTCTGTCACCATAACAAAAGATGGAGATAATTAACTTACCAAGAGAAAAGGTCTATTCAGTTCATGGCTGTGGAGATCTGAAACACTAGGCCTCTGATGAGGCCACATATCACAGCGGCGTATGTGGCACAGCAAAACCATTTCCATCAGGAACCTAAGAGCAAAGGGAGAAGTCCCCAGGGTGGAGTCCCCAGTCCCCTTCAGGGTTAGCCTCCAGGAACCTAGAGAGCTTCCAAAGGCTCCAACTCTCAGGGGTTTCACACCCCTCAGTGGTACCACCCACCGTCCAAGCCTTTGACACAGACCTTCGGGGAACACCTATCCAAACCACGGTACAGCCTAAATGCCTTTTCCTTTAATCAATAACCATAAAAAGGTGTCTTATTGTCTTTTTAAAAAGTTCTTTGTTCTGGTCCTCCTATGCTAAATAGTGTTTGGTATATTTTTTTTTCAGTCAAAAGAATTATTATTGTAAAGAGATACCAAAATGCAAGTTCATGTTCTCTAAAATCAAAGAATGAATTTTAGGAGCAATAGAGGTTAAGAGTAGGAAGAGAGACAGAAGGGGGACCAGAAAATGGGTTGCCCCTGTCTTTGGTATATTTCAAAGGTAGAACAAATAGGATTTGCAGATTAGAACACAGTTAAGGTTGACTCCAAAGTTTGGGACCTGTACAAAGTGGATGCCATAAGGTAATGAGGGATGGGGGACAGGTTCAAGGATCTTACTGGGGGCACGTTAAATTTGACATGCCACTCGGTAATCCAAATGGAGATGTACAGATGGTAGTTGGCTAGGAATAACTGCAATTTGGGTAGAAATTTAGATATAAATTATGTCAATGGTTTTTAAATCCCAGGATAGAATGAGATCACACAAAACTCAACCCAAGATACAAAACACCTTTTATATATTGACCAAATACATGTATATAACTAAAAGTTTCCAGAAGCTAACTTACCTTTCTCATACAGGATTCACAGTTCTCTTTCTCTTTCATTTATTTCTTTACAATTTTTGCTCCCAACTCAATTGTTTTTTTTAAATCAGTAAAAACTGTGGTTTGTAGTTTGAAAATCACTGATAGTTGCAAACCATAGACATTAATTGTATAATTGCAACAAGAGACCCAAAGGGTAATCATGTAGAATAAGGAAACCACTAGCAAAGGAAACTTAGAAGGAGAATCCAGAGGTAGAAGAACCAGAAGAGGAGAGCCCCAAAGGCTAAGTGGAGAAAATGTTTCTGAAAAGAAGTGCCTCAGTTTGTTGTTTGCTACTGTGAGGTTGAGTAAGGTGAGATTTGACCTTTGGATTTGGCAGCATAGGGATCATTGAGACCCTGAGCAGAGTAATTAAGATAAAGTGCATGGGTTAAAGGTCTTATTGTCTCTATTAGATGGTAACAAGAAGGAGTTACATTTTCTTTTTGCTGTAAAAGGGAAACAGGAGTACAAGAGATATGGGGAGTAAGGTTTTCTGTTTAATTATTTACCTACTAATACAAATGGTTTACCATCAAGTAAACCTAGATCAGAAGATGGTGACAATGACAGAAAGGAAATCCTTGTGTCAGCTGGGGGGAATAACCTTTACATAAGATGAACAAGAAAAGGGGAGTAAGTGTTGGTGAGTAAAATGCATCAGAGGCCATGGATGAGCTCCAAGCTCCTGCCCGAG